TATTTTTCATATTCTTGTATCATCTTGATTTATATAGAATTGTTTTATCTGCATAAAATTCCAACCATTTTACATAATATTGTATGGGTTTTCTAAATAATTATAACTTATAAAGAAGCTCAATATCAGCTGTGAAAACTGGGCCAGGAGCTGATTGTGGAACAGACCAGCAACTACTCATATGCAAGTTCAAGCTGAAACTGAGGAAAATGAAACCAAATCCACAGGAGCCAAAATATGACTTTGATTTCATCCCACCTAAATTTCAGAATCATCTCAGGAACAGGTTTGAGGCCTTGAACACAAATGAGCGAAGACCAGATGAGTTGTGGGAGGATGTTAAATGTATCATCCGAAGAATGCAAACGGTCATTACAAAGACAGAAGAGAGAGAAAAGACCAAAATGGATGCCAGAAGAAACTCTAAAGATTACACTGGAGCGTAGAGAAGCCAAAGCACAAGGAAGAATTCAAGACACTAAAGAGCTGAACAGAAGATTCCAAAAGGCAGCTCAGAATGACAAAGCAAAATATTACAATGAAATGTGCGAGGAGCTAGAGTCGGAAAATCAAAAAAGACGAACTCGTTCAGCATTTCTTAAGCTCAACGAACTAAAGAACAAATTCAAACCTAGAGTTGCTATAATCAAGGATGCTTTAGGAAGAATATTAAATGATCCAGGATGTATTAAAAGAAGATGGAAGGAATATACTGAGTCACTGTAACAAAAGGAATTGGCAGATACAGAAGAATTTAATGAAATAACATATGAACAAGAGCCTATAGTAATGAAGGAAGAAGTTGAAGCTGCTTTGAATAGCAAAAAAATAAGGCCCCAGGAATAGATGGTATACCAACTGACATATTTCAGCTAACAGATCCTGCCCTGGATGTGCTCACCAAGTTGTGCCAAGAAATTCTGGAGAACAACCACTTGGCCAACTGACTGGAAGAGATCTATATTTGTTCCCATTCCAAAGAAGGGTGACCCAACAGAGTGTGGAAACTACAGAACAATATCATTGACTTCACATGCAAGCAAGATTCTACTTAAGATTATCCAAAAACGACTGGAACAGCACATCAGCAGAGAATTGCCAGAAGTCCACGCTGGGTTTAGAAGGGGTCATGGTACTAGGGATATTGTAGCTGATGTTAGATGGATCGTAGCTGAAAGCAGGGAATACCAGAAGAATGTCTATCTGTGTTTCATTGATTATGCAAAGGTATTTGACTGTGTGGATCATAACAAACTGTGGCTGAGTCTGAGAAGAATGGGAATCCAAGAAACCTATACTTGGACCAAGCAGCAGTCATCAGAACAGAGCAGGGTAACACTGCATGGTTCAAAATTGGGAAGGGTGTACTCCAGGGATGTGTCCTGTCTCCATACCTTTTCATAGTATGCAAATCAGATTATCCGGGAGGCTGGGCTCTATGATGAAAATTGTGGCATCAGGATTGGTGGAATATCTATGAACAATCTGCATTAAGCAGATGATACAACCTTCCTTGCTGAAACTGAGGAGGACCTCATGCACTTGCTGCAGAGTGCAGAGGGTCAAGGACTGCAGCCTTCAGTATGGACTGAGGCTCAGTGTCAAGAAGACAAAGATTCTCACCATTGGACCAACTGGAAGCATCAGGAAGGATGGCGAAGAGATTGAGATTGTGCACAGCTTCAGTTTGCTCGGCTCCATGGTCAACACTCTTGGCACCAGGTTGCATGTGAAATCAATGATATTGTTCTATAGAGTCCACACTCTGTTGGGTCGCCCTTCTTTGGAATGGGAACAAATATAGATCTCTTCCAGTCAGTTGGCCTAGTGATTGTTCTCCAGATTTCTTGGCACAACTCGGTGAGCACATCCAGGGCAGCATCTGTTAGCTGAAATACGTCAATTGCTATACCACCTATTCCTGGGGCCTTATTTTTTGCCATTTCCTTCAAAGCAGCTTGAACTTAGTGAGGTAGATCTTGCTATTATTTCCATTTTTGAGATGAGGAAACAGACGGACAACGATTACATATATATTTGGGAAATGAGTGAGCCTGAATTTGAATTCAGACAAACTGGACTCAGATTTCATACTTTTGGAGCCATTCTTAGATACCTGCTACTAAACACTTCTTTTGCAAAAGTTTTCCCTAGGAATTTGGCATGTGTTTTCTTTAGTGTTATCAGTCTATAAGTTTCTATTGTGCTATCCTTGTTAAGTTTTAGAATCAGGCATCTGTTATCATTTTGGAGTAAATCAAAAAGCTTTCTGTGGTCATTTCCAAGGTGACATCACTTCCCACTCACCAGTCCCCTGATTACTATCTCTTGGTATATTCACGTCCTTGGAAGATCCTTTTTATTTTTTTCCCCAAATCCTGTGAACTCTGATAATGTTTCTTATAGAGTTTAATCACCAAATAATGCTAATGTCTTAGACTTTATTTCTTAGATTGTATGATCCTAAAAACTGTTTTGCAAAATCTTCATATGTTGAATTATATTATCAGCTACGTCCTTGAAGATGAACTTCATGCTCAGAAGGGTGGACAGACTGCACAGAGTCGGAGACCCTTAATGAGATGGACTGATATAGTAACTATGACAGTGGGGGTTGGTGTGCGCACAAGGTTCAGAGGTGCTGGGTCCTCTGGCAGGCAACTCAATGGCACATAAAAACAATAACATACTAAGTCAGGTTTGGAAGCAGTGGCATCCACTTCCTAAGCAACACGACTCTGGAAACTCTATGAACTTTGATAAATGTCTTTAGCTGCAGAGGGCTTTAGACCTTTTGTTCACAGAGTCGCTATGAGTAATGCTTGACTGGAAGGCAAACAACAACAATATTATTAGTGCTAAGTAGCCTTTTTAACATGTTTCCCTCGTTTCTTTTTTTAAATTTTATTCTGATTTATTTACAAAGTCTGAATACATTGTTTTTCACAAAAGGTCCTTCCCATTTCCTTCACTCCACCCACCTACAGAATTGTACAATGGTATAACCACTCTGGAAGGCACTTTGGTGCTTCCTCAAAAAGCTGAACATAGAAATTCCATAAGACCCAGCTATTCCATTGCTTGGAATATACCTCAAGAAAATGAAAACTGAGGCTCAAAATGACACTTTTACATCAATGTTCATAGCAGCATTAATTACCATAGCAAGAACATGAAAACAGCCCAGATGTGCAACCACAAATGAATGGATTGAGAAGTTATAGTATATTCATACAATGGAATACTACACAGAACACAGGATCAATCATTCTATAAATTACTACCTAACTTGGGAAGAACTGGAGAGCATTATGCTGAGTGAACTAACTCAGCCCCTCAGCCCCACAGGAACAAATACTGTATAAAACCATTATTGTAGAACGAGTATGAGGATCCAAGACAGGGGCAGGGAGGGTGGAAACAGAGGAGTAAGAATGGGTGGGGGGTAAGGTGTTAAACATAGGGAAGATCAATTTTGTACAGTAATATGGTCACTTTAGCAGTAAATAAAGGAATAAAACTGAGTAGTGATAGTCACTTTAAAGATTATGTTAAAAAAGACTGTAGCCTCTATACCAGACTCTGGATCACTCACTCCAGTAAACTAGGAATGCAGACAGAGATAGATGTATGGTAAAGAACTATAGCCTTCCTGTCTACAAAAGCTTCAAGAAGTTGAGACCTTCAACAGTCGGGAAAAAGCTCTCAGAAGGGGATCGTCCTGATTTCTGACAAATGAGCAAAACCAAGCTCTGGTGGTGTAGCTTTTAGGGAATTGTCCTAACCTCATGGTGTCTGGTTCAAACCCACCAGGAGCTCCACAGGAGAAAGATGGATAATGTCCTCTTCCATGATTTACAACTTCTAAAAGCCCACTGGAGGGTCAGTTAATGAGCTGACTCTAACTTGACAATGCATGAGCTGAAGAACAATTAGATGAAAGATCTGAGCCAGACCAACCTAAGCCACACTGATGCTAAAACTTGAGAAAGTGATTGTTGCTTGTTTTAAACTATTGATAATGATGATTAATTAATAATTAAGTTAATTATAATTATTCTTTACATATCACTAGATAATAAATGTACTTTTTACAGTGTATCCACATCACAAGAATGATTTTTACATGGAAAAGTTGCAGACAATAGGTGAAACCTGTCACTTCAGAAAGATAAATATTTAATCACTTTTTATATTTTTAATACAGATTTAATTCCTTCTTTCGTAACAAAGTTCCACTTCCCCATGTATTTTGCCCAGAATGTTGTCTAGTTTCTAGTTTTGTTAATAAAGGAATAAACTTTTAGTATGTACAGGTAGGTTTCCTGTTCATATTGCTGTTGTTGTTGTTGATTGCCTTCGAGTCAAGCATGACTCATAGTGACCCTAAGAACAAAAGGCCTGAAGCCACTCTACAACTATCGACATGTATCAAGATTCATAGTTTCTGGAGGCATGTTGCTTAGGAAGTGGATGCCACTCCTTCGTCCAACTATTCATATTATTTAAAAAAAAAAAAAAAACAACAGGGGAGAGACATATTTTGTCTTGCTAATGGTTTGTCTACTTTGTTTTTCTTACAAAACCAAATTAACTATTAATTTATACAGCCTACTGATTTTATATTCTAATTAATCATTAATTTAGTAAACCTTTGCTCTTTTTAGGACTATGACATCTAAGTTACATAGATATATAAATTTTCATTAATTTAACTATTTATTTTCAAAACAGCTGCATCTCAAGCCTCTTTTTTGCTAAAATAAAAAATAGATTACTATAAAACACAGTTAGAAAATAACCTAGACAAAGTTTGTAACTCACAATAAATCATAGAAACTGTGTTTATAAGTAGATCTTCATTATAAAAACTTGAAATCCATTATTTTCATAGTCATTTTGTATCAAAATTTTAATGAAAATGAGTACTCAATTTTTAAGTAATATTTTCTTGTCCAAAAGAATTAACTGATGTACAGCTTGATAATGAAATAAAATACCTTTAGATTATATTTATGAGCTTTATCCAAAATAGTCGGTACCAAGTCATCAGTAGGTTCTCCATTCTCATCATTTGAATCAGGTGGGTACCAAGACAGGGCTAGTACACCTATTAGAAAAGACCATTCAAGAAAAATTTAAAAAAGAGAAGGATGACTCAAGTATTATTTAAAAAACATGAAAAGTAGCAGTTAACAATAAAAGATAAAAAAGAAACATATCCTCATAGAAAGTTGCTTTTTACCTTCTTTCCTGACTACATATTTGCACTTCTACATATAGGAATTGGGGTTCTCCAGTGGTCGACCAGTAAGAAAGCTGCACTACAGTCTCAAAGGCACGTAGTTCAAATTCATATCCTTCTATGTGATTAACTGCCTCTGAAAACTCACTGGAAAGTCAGTTATGGGTTGACAATACAAAACAGCAACATCATATAGGAATTAATTCCATTACTTTGCATAGTCAATATTTATTAAGTTTTTACTAAATATCATTGTCTTTTAACAGAAGATTCAAACTCATACATTAATATATACATATCCTTTCTGCATGTATTTGTTGTTTAAGTGGTATTTTTTTTAAAAGTCAGAAATGTAAGCCTACAACAAAAATCACTAAACAAAGAGTATTTGAGATCAAGTAATTTATAGTCCTATACATATGTTGTTGTTGTTAGGTGCCGTCAAGTTGTAGATGACTCACAGTGACCCTATGAATGAAAGGCCTGAGCACTGTTCATACATAGAGTTTCCGGAGGCAAGCCATTTCAGAAGTGGATGTTCCTCCTGCTTCCAGCCTATACGTATAAATAAAGCTAAAAACAAAACACCAGGCCCAGGTGGCTCACAAGTGGATTCCATCAAAAAGAAACAAGACCAACTCAGCACAATCTATTTTCTACAGAAAATAAAGAGATGTCCCCACTAATTTCATATAGTCAGTAATTCTACTCTAATAAAACTTAACAAATGTGTATCTTACAGGTCAGTATCTGTCATGACTTTGGTCATAAACAAATTTTTAAAAATATTAACAAAAAGAACGAAGAAATGTATAAAAAGAATAATCAATCACACCCTAAACAAAAACTAAAGCTAATGTTGTGGAGTCAACCCAACTCATAACCACCATAGTGGATGAAGTAAAAGTGTCCCGTATAGTTTCAAAGCTGTAAAGTTTTACAGAAACAGCCATATCTTTTTCCCACTGAGTGGTTGCTATGTTTCAATCACCAAACTTATGGTTTACAGCCAAGCACTTAGACACTGTGCTACAGGGAGTCTAAATCATGTCCAACTGAGGCTTATTCCAAGCTAGTTTAACATTTGACAAATCAATGAGTTTCCATATAACTAAAGAGAAAACAATTTTAAAAGATCACACTGTTTTAAAACTTATCATAAAGTTACAACAAAGCGGATATTCTGAAGAAAGCACATGCAGTACAGATGATTCTGTGGTCCCCTTATTTATATCTGTCCTTGGTTCCTTCCCCACATGTACTCTATTTTGCAAAGGTGCAAAACTTATACATAGAACTTGGTTTTCCTCAGAGAGAAACTACAAGACATATGCTGAATCTCATGGTCAATGAAACTTAGATTAGCACTGAACAGCATGTACTGATCAGGATATGAATTTCAACTGTCCTTGGGCCAGGTGTCTCTGGGTTAGCTCAATCAGCAGCTATGCAAAGCAAACCCTATTCACAGCTTGCTAAAATTGCTTCATAGTTCTCTTCACCCACAAAATAACTCTATATTGGGATAGGAAATACTGTCTTTCCCTGATCCCTGGCACTAACTTTGGTGCATTGAACACTACTTGGCTTTGTTATCCACCTAGCTCTCGGAACCAATACACTACTGTTTTTCCCCTACTTATGACTGTACTCTGCAATCAAAAAGAAGTAAAATTGTTACTTATGCAAGATTATTTTTAAGTCTTGCCTTCACTGTCTCAAAAAGCAACTCAGTAAAACTAAACCAAAGTCTGGTTGTATGCTTTATTTGTGTGGCCACTACTCTTATAGACGATGCTTTACCACCTGAAAATCATATTCTGTTCCTAAAAGTAAGCATGTAAATTGCAGGACAGTCATACAGATTGAGAGATCAGAATAGAATCCCAAAGTAGAGACAAATATACTCATCTGATTCTAAATATGAAATAGTGTTCTCAACAAATAAACTGAAGAAATTTGTTGTTGCTAGGTGCCATCACGTCAAAAACAACTCTTGGTGATCCTATGAACACTGTCCTATCCTTTGTCATCCTCATCCCTGAAACACTAGAGCCTATTGCAGCAGTCACTGTGTCAGTCCATCTTGTTGAGGATCTTCCTCTCCTTTGCTGATCCTCTACCTTTGAAGCATGATGTCCCTTTTCAAGGAAGAGTAACATACCCAAAGTATATAAGATGAAGCTTTGTCATCCTTGCCTCCAAGGAGCAAGCACTCTTGCTGCACTTTTTCTAAAACATCTATATGCTCTTTTGGCAGTCCATGGGATATTCAGCACTCTTCTCCAACACCACAGTTCATAAGCATCAATTTTTACTCTTGTCATCCTTATACATTTTCCAGCTGTCAGCATAATAAGTTACTGGGAAAATCATGACCTGAATCAGGTACACCTTAGTCCTCAAACTGACATCATCGCTCCTTTGTAATTTAGAGAAGTCCTTGACAGCAGACTTGCCCAATGCAATCTATCTCCTGATCTCTTCACTGTTGGAACCAAGGGTACTGACTGTGGATTCACGCAAGATGAAACTGCTGACAACTTCAATCAATTCTCCATCAATCATGATATTGCTTATTGATCCAGGTGAGGATTTCAACAATAAAAGATGACCAAAATTTTGGCTGATGATTCTCTTCTGTAATCTTCAAAATCACCAAAGGCAGGTCCAATAATTTTCACATATATGTCTCTGATCTTTCCCCACCTACTATTATATTTTTAAGAACTTCTGTGTTTGGACTGTAACCACCTAGGGGTCCTATTGGTAAGAAGCTACACTGCAATCCCAAAGGCATGCAGTTTGAACCAGCTGCTCTGGTAAAAAAGGTTGGGTAATCTCCTCCCATAAGATTTACTGCCTCTGAAAATCCCCTGGAGGGTCGGTTATGGTTCACTCTGATTCAAGGGCATACAAAAACAACAACGACACCACAAGGTCAGTTCTTTAGCAATCTTAATTGTTTCTTAGACTTTAATTCCCACAGTAACATATTCATAGAATCTAAGAATTAGGATCCAAAGCATGTGATTCAAATCTGCCAACTGCCACATGAAAGGATAGGCACTCTCCTCACATGTGATTAACTACTTCAGAAAGCCTGCTGGAGGGTCAGCTATGAGTTTGTTCCAACTCAATGATACATAATAGAAAGAAGGATTAGGATGTGGACAGCTTGCTGCTTACTGTAATTCTTCCTAAAAGTGAATAAAATCTATATGTATAAAGAGCTTCCACTGTATCTTTCGAATAATATGAATATAATAAATATAATAGAAAGGCTATAAAAAGGTATGTGATCCTTTATAGAAGTTGCTATTGTTTTGTACCATAGATTCAGAACTGACCCACAGCTGTCCCCTCCATCAGGTTTTCAGAGGCAATTAATCTCACTGAAGGAGACTGCACATCCTTCTTCCATGGAGCAGCTGATGACCTCGAACTGTGTGCCGTTGGGATTGCAACACAGCTTGTTGACACAAGCCATCAGAGTTCTATGAGGCTTTAATTTCCTCCTTGATCATTTAATAGTATACTGACTGGTGTTTAAAAATAGCATTAACATTTTTTTCCCATATACCATCATTTTCTAAGAGGTGAAGTAAAGTTTGGACTATTAAAATGTATACAAGCAATACTTAGAATTTAGAAACTAGAATCAACCAACTTGTCTGTGAAATAATATAAATACTGCAAACAACAATCTAAGACTAAAAAAGGTTATATAGCAAAGAAAAAAATAATCTTAAGAGTAAGATGATAAAGTCAAAGCATATTCAATCATACAGAAAATATAAATGCTCTATTTCCTATCTTCTTCAACTTGAGAAATTTCAGTGTCAGCATACTAACTACACTGATGAAAATCACATATGAGATTTTAATGTCAAAGAACTTTCGCATTATTTTTCAAATAATAATGGCTATAATTCAGTATCTAGCTTGTTAAACATAATTCATTCTAAACTAGATTATAACGTTGTCACTTTTATTAATATCGAGTAGTTGCTTATTTTTTCCAGAAGAAAATCCAACAAAAAGGTATTTGTATCCATAGTGAAGTTGTCAACATTTAAAATAATTATACTACTTATTGCTGGTGTTTAGAAATAATTTATATACATTATGTAGTGGCTTAGTGGCAAGATGTCACACTGTCAATGCAAAAGCCTGTGGTTTGAATTCATCAGTTGCTCTATGGGATAAAGATGGGCAATCTCCTCCCATGTGATTTACTGCCTCAGCAAACTTTGTGTACAGTCAGCTCTGAGTCAGTTCCAATTCAATGGTAGACAACAAGAACAAAAACAACAGAAATACACTATGTAGTGTAAAAAAATTAGAAAAAATTATTTTTAACCATTAAAGTCTTAATAATAAATGTAAACTGAAATTTTCTTTTAAATAATGAAAAAATTATAAAACTATTTCTACTTTTAGAAGAATACATCCTTGTACAAATTCATTTGCATCAATATTAAAAAGTTTAAATAATATAAATTTATTCTATATTTCAAGCTTATTTTTTCCATGAGGGATGGATGGTGAGGGGGAAGGCCAAATTAGTGTTGAAATATCAAAAAAGACTTTATGATTGTGATACAAATGCTTTACAAAATGCATGCAAACAAATATATTTAAAAGGCCTTCCCCAACACAAGCACACACATACACACAGGCAAAGCTATCTAAATATACCAGCTCTATTTTATGTTATAATAAAGACTGCTGTTAGGTGCTCTTGAGTCAATTTCCACTCACAGCAACCCTGTTGTTGTTGTTGTTAAGTGCCATCAAGTTGTAGACAACTCATAGCGACCCTATGAATGAAACACCTAAAAATTTGTTTAACTTTCATTGTTTCTCCAAGTCCATAACGTTTCCAGAGACAAGCTATTTCAGAAGTGGATGCCACTCCTGCTTCCAAGTTTGTTTTAATCGGGAAGCTCCACCAAACACTGTCCTCCATGGGAAACCATTATCGCATTTGACACATCAGTGTCACAGTATTCAGTATCACAACAAACATGAGTTACCTCTGTACAGTAAATGGACTGACCAGTGCGATACCACTTTGAAGAATGTTTGACCAAAAACAATTAACACTGGCCTGAGATCCACAGACAAAAATCACTGACTTTGGCTTGGTAGCACCACTTTCTGTCCAGTAGGCCAACTGAGCTCTCTCTATGTTGTTGTTGTTGTTGTTGTTGTTAACTGCCGTTGAGTGATAAATGACTCATAGCAACCCTAGGTACATATGATAGACCAGAACCCTGCTTGAACCTGTGCCAGCCTCACATCCTCACAATCTCCACTGTGCTGTGCTGTAGTCACTGTGTCGATCCATCTCGAGCATCTTCCTATTGGTCACTGACTACTTTTTCAAGCATGAAGTTCTTTTCTAAAGACTGATCTCCCCCTGACAACATTCTCAAAGTATGTAAAACAAAATCTCACCCTCTTAGTCTCCAAGGAGCATTTCAGCTGCATTTCTTTCAAGACAGATCTATTTGTTCCTTCGTGGTACATAATACTACCACTGCAGACTAGAAAGCTGGATTTGTAAATAATTGAAAAAACAATTACTTCTCAGAAGTCATCCTGTACGTAATTAACACCGTTTTCTTTAAAATGCACTGTTCATGAAAGAGCTCTGTGTATCTCTATAGACTTATCAATTCCAAAGTGACTTTGTACCTTGACAAAGAAATAAAAAGTACAGGAACATCCAGTTTTTGTCTTATGACCCTTCTGTTAAGCATCCTAACAAAACTGATGAAGGAACTGAAACAGGTAAGTTTTATGACATGTTTGTTGACAAATTTAAAGATTTATAGGCATCAAATTATGTTGTTGAATTTGTTCAACTATGGAATAATTTAAAGTTATCTGATTATATGTAATTAGATAGCCTGATTAGATAGAAGAGGAAGACGAAAAAAAGCAGAATAACTGCTGACTTCTCATCAGAAAACAGTAAAAGACAAAATCAAAACCTTCATTATATTACTTCATTTATAGAAGAGTGCTTCAAAAGTTACAATGAAAGAAAGATATTGATAAAGAAAAATTGAAAGACTGTGCTACTAGGTATGTACTAAAAGAAATGAAACATTAAGTTTCTCAGGCTAAAATAAAATTTAAAATTTAGAGCTACACATAGGAATATATACTCATGCTAAACATATGGATAAATACAAAAGTTTTTGTTCTTAATTTTTAAATACCCTTTTGAAATGATAAAGAATAACAACAGAGCACTGTGAGATTTATAACATATACAATAGTAGAAAGTACTACAACAATAGCACCAAGTGCAGAAAGGCAGAAAAGCAAACAGATTACTACAAGTTCTTTACATTCTAACCAGAGGATATCTTACTATTCCTTAAAGGTAGATTGTGATGAGTCAAATGGGCATATTGAAAACTGTAGAGCAACCACCAAATTAATGAAATCAATAAACATTACCTCATCAGTCAGTAGTGATTATTAAAATTAAATACTAAATATAGTCAAAAGAAAAGGCAGGAAAAGGTAAAAAAGAACAGAGGATGAGTAGATAAGACAAAGTAAACAGCAAAATAAAATATCTAAAGCCACTATATCATTATTACATTTCTATAAAATAAACTCAAATTAAGAAAAATAGAAGTTGTAAAATTAGGACTTTTATTAAAAAAAGCAAACAGCACTACCAAATTATAGTCAAAACTACTCAATATCGATCAGCAGGTGAATATAGAAATAAATTTGCTAAAATTATACAACAGAATGCTGCTGACTTACCAAAAATGACTAAACTCATAAAATATGGGTAAAATTCAACCCATTGTTGAAGCAAATCAACTCATAGCTGACCCTCTAATGGGTTTTCAGAGACTGTATATTGCATAGAAGGATTCTCATCTCTCTGCTATGCAGCTGTGGATGGATTTAAAATAAAAAGGTATCTCTTTCGGAATAGCAATGCTGTTTTTGAATTAGCAGTACAACCACAAGGACATAATATTAATGTATCACACACACACACACACACACACACACACACACACCAAAATATCAAACCCAAACATACGTGTACATATTTCCATAAACACACACACAAAAACAGCTCAAATAATCACCTATTGAAGCTGAACACATTTGCTTCATGTGGGTTTCTATGACAGAAGGATCTCGTGAGCTGTAACTTCCCAATTCAGGATAAAAGCTGGAACCAATGTCATCTGGGGGACTGTGTCTCCCTTGTGGATAATTCTTTGCTATTCGAGGGTCCCAATGCTCCAAGACTGGATGGTTCCAATGTATATATTTACCATCAAATTGTGGATTTCCATACCAAGTATAATAAAATACATGTAAATAATAATTCAATGGTGGTAGTTCTTCCAGGTTAATTTCTGAAGGCTTCGAAGTTTTCATCATGATTTCAACACTTTTTAAGTTCTTAGTATTTCTCTCACTGTTGATTTTGCCACTTTTTTTGGAATCCATTTTTTTCTCCAAGTTGACAGTTTGCTGTCGAAATTCTGGAAGAAGGTCAAGTCCAAAAGGATCTCCAAAAGTAGCTGTGTTTGGTCTCAGAGTTTTTAAGCCCATCATAAGTGAGAAAATAAATAGAATGAAAAGTGATAAAATGATGCAAGTCCTTCTCCGAAATTTTGCCATGATGACATACTTTAAATTCCAAAATAGATGTTCTGCTGCAATTTATTGGATTAAAAAAAACATAATTAGTAAGTTATATTAGTTATATTTTCCAATAAACTTAAAATGAAACTAAAACCCATAAAGTACAATGAAAAATTAAGAAGCATATTATAATCTTAATTATATAATCAAACACTGATATAAACAAAATAATGTATATTTAGTTAAATGGCAACTTATTTTCTAATATCACCTTTAGTTAGGTGACATTTACACGGAGTCAGATAAACATCTTAGGAGTTTTATTTAAGAAAGCAAAATAGAGTCAACGGTCATTACGTGACCATATTTTTAGTACATTCAATAATGAAATGTATTCTTCTTCATTTAGGGACTAGGATTTCTAAAATAAAAGAGTAAAAGATTATCATTAACAAATGGAAATATTTATGCATATAGTAAAACTCTTATGTATATATAAAGTTTAAAGGAGTGGCTTTTTGTTTTATTTTTATTAACTTTCACACTTTAAAATAATATTTTGAAATAAAAAAGAATAAGATAAAAAATAAATGAAACAGGAAAAGAATGATCACAAATTCAATGGTCCCATTGGTCCCATTAATTTCTTAAGTTTTAACTTTTCTAAGTTTTAACTCTCAAAAGTCTCACTGAACAAAAGTTACAAACACTAATTTATATCCTTTTAGACAGTATTAAAGGAGTGCTAGTGCCAAATGTATAATGTATTTGCTGTTAAACCAAAAAGTTGTCAGTTCAAATCCACGAGTTACTCTGGAGGAAAAAGTTGAGCAGTCTTCTGTAACTATTTATGTCCTTAGAAGTCCAACGCAGGATCACTGTCAGTGAGAACTAATTTGACAGTGAGCTTGATTGCTGGCATTAATATGGTACTGTATGTATACTTTCATGTTTATGTAAGTATGTGTATAAGAAATGTATGTTTAAGGGTATATGTAGAGAGAGGTAAATACATGCAAATGAAATAATGTCTTTTTTATACACAAATTTTCTTTTCGAAAGCTAGTTAATGGAAAATTAGTAATAACTGCAGGTATAAAATGTTTTTAAAAATAATCATGTTATTCTTATTCTAGATCATTAGTAGGGAAGTAAAACAATTTATAATTTGGTAACACACACACACACAAATAGCTTCTACAAACTGAAGTTTCTATTTTTTTTTGTACATGCAAGAAATATTGAAATAATTATGCACATATGAGTTTTCAAAGTGGCTTTTTTTTTATATTATTGTTCCAGGACACTACTTTGAGGCTTCTTCCTCACATAAAGTTTTGGTAATATTATTGCATGGGTACACTGTGACTGTAACCACAAGACATCACTGTATGTATCTTGGTAAAGTATTCACTTACCAAAAATTACTAACCAGATTAAAATATAATAAAACTCAAATTCAATGTTGTAAATTCAGAACCAACTCATAGCTGATCCTCCAGAAGGTTTTCAGAGGCTGTAAATACCTGAGGACTGCCCAGCTTCCCTGCTGAGCAACCTTGTGGATCTGAACTGCATGTCTCTGCAATTGCATATAGTTTCTTATCAGTAGGACACCCTAGCTCCCATTATAATGGTTAATATTATTGCTAATGTCTGATGAATCTTGGCTAAAAGTAGAGAGTAGCAAAAGAAAGTCTGTAGTGTTAGTCTAAAAATGGCATTGTTTAGCCATTATAGTTAGGCCCCTATGATCTCCAGCTAACTTAACTGCAGGCACATAATCTTACAAATCAGTATGGTCTTGCAAATCACCAACAGCTGTGGGACTAGGATAAGAGAAAGAATGCTACACACACACACACACACACACACACACACACACACACACACACAGAGTAAAACTAGAGATGAGCAAGACTTGTGGAGGCAAGACTTGAAGGAAACTGGAGTGAGACCCTGGTGGTGCAGAGACTGTGTAATTGTTGTGGAGAAACTGTGGCAAGGTGTAAGAAGAGGAACCCTGAGATAAAGGTCATGGCGGAGAAAGGGTTTTTACTATTCTTGCTGGATGG